GTACTATTTCTTGTCACGATCTTAATTAGTTCATTTCCTTACAGAAATATCATTTCATTCATATCATAACTCGAGTTATGCTGATTAGAATAATTCTTCTTCTTTGTAAAAAAAAAAAAAAACCTTAACGAATTAACGAAAGATTAATTGCAATTTGATTTTGATCGAAGGTGTGGAGAACTTTGATCTTGGATTTTTTCGATTCGTCAAAGATGGTACCGTTTGATGGCTCAAGAGAGTCCGACGTTCGAGTTGCTGTCGAAATCGAGGAGGAATGGGAGCGCGGTTTCGTCTCTTTCTCTTGAAAAGATCCACGCAAAGTGGGATACGAGGATCGTCGTTCCGACCGCATCCGACATGTGAAAGCGAAACGATGCAATTTCTGCAGTAGCAAGCAGCACTCGTGTGTTCGCGCGCGGGAGAACGAGCCTATCATAATCAATCGCTACTAAAGATGGCCATACGTGAGATAGAATGAGCAAAATTGCTCCTAGACGATTGCATTCCTTATCTAATTATCCACGTGACCTTCTTTCGCAAACCATCCTTCCACCGTTAGATTTATCTAATCGAAAATTTTTGAAAAAAAAAAAAAAAAAGAAAAAATTAAAAATGTCATCAGTCTAATGGAACGACATTAAAAAAGAAACGATGTTTCTTCCTTCGTTGGATAGTTTCGCAATCGGAGAAAAATGTTGATAGGATAAAGTTTTGATGAAAAAATTAGAGAGATAAAAAGGAAAGGACAAAAAATTGTTGGAAGGGTGTTAAAGGTTTTAGCTGCTAAGGAAGGAAAGAAGGAAGGAAAGAAGGAAGGAAGGAAGGAAGGAAGGGCCCCCCACGAGCCACGAACAAACTCAACTCTCCGTGTGGTCTCCGCTACGCCTCGCGGCGACCTCATCCCTTCTGCCACGACGAACCTCCTCCACCTTCTTTTTCTTCTTCCTCCTTCTTCTTCTTTTCCTCCTCTTCCTTTTCTTCTTCTTCTTCTTCTTCTTCTTCTTCTTCTTCTTCTTCTTCTTCTTCATCCTTCTCTTCTGCTTCTTCTCCTTGTCGAACATAAATCTCGGTAGGTTGCATTTATACTTAATGTTGCCAATATCCCGCTTGATTCCCCCTTTATTCCTCTCTCCAACGTTCTATCCTTATCCTCTTTATTAGCCGAGAGGCTCACCACCGGCACTCGCGATGTTCCTCTCCGGAGTTCACCCGGTCAACACACACTGGCCGGGGTTGAATTTATCGTCCCCCTTGGTAATGGATGGCCACGACGCCGTACGTCATCGATGTCTCTCGGCAGCTCTCGTCTTTCTTCTCTCTTACCTCTTACCGAGATCTACTTTTTTCCTTTTTCTTTTTTTTTTTTTTTTTAGGAACATTCGCGAAGATCCATGAATCGGATTATTGTTTTATCAAATAGCGATTTGATCAAAGGGTAGTTTTCGCGTATGACGTGGAAGACTTTGGCGTATCGTGCTTAACAGCGCGGTTTCTTAGCTATCCGCGAGCAGTCCGGGCCCGTTTTTCTGTCAATCTCCGCGTGATCCCTGTAATTTCCTGTCTAGAAAAGCACGCCGTGGCTTTAATGCTCCATTGTCTCAGTGTTCTACCTTCTCCTCTTTCCCTTCGGCCTCTACGTCCTAAGCGAGGACCCAGTACTACTCCCAGTTTACTCCCACTATTTCAACTGTGGCCAGTGGTTCTCAATATTTTTACAGATAACTCCTATCGATACTTGTGTCTTTATATTTTTTCGTTTTTCATCGATATAGAAAACACAACGATGCAATTTATTGAAATTTTCTTGGAAATAGGAATGATTAACCTAGAGACCCAACGTGTTTCGCTATACGTTATGCGTCATACTAATTATTAAGATATACAATAGAGAGTTTTCATAGAAGAAGAGGAAGAGATCGATCCATCTCTTTTTGACTCTCTCTTTCTCTCACGCACACGTCCACATTGTTTCTTTGGCGAATATTTTTCAAACAGCACGAATGTACGTTTCCAACGGGGTTGCGTTAAAAACAAAAAGGTAAAAGAGAGAGAGAGAGAGAGAGAGAGAGATAAAGAAACAAAGTGGACGCATAAAAGTACGAGCGAGGAGAGGTGGCTCCAGGGTCGAAGGGTGGTCGAGGGTGGTTGAGGGGTGAGAGGATGGAGCATTGTGATGCGCGGGAGATCGGTCACACGATAGACCCGGTCAAGGACGTGCTCCGCGTCGGGTTCCCAAGCGAACAGCGGCGGCGGCGGCGGCGGCGGCGACGGCGGCTCAACGTACACGCCTATCTACCTGAAGAGGGAGAGTACACGAAGGTGTACGTGTGCGAGAGTATCTCTACACCGGCAGCACCACCCTTCCTACCTTCCATCCTTCTCCTCCCTTTCCTCTCACCTCTTGCCGATTCTTCTCTTTACACTCTAGAAAAATGACTTTCGTGCGGTGCAAAAGTAAATTAGTCCTTTCGATAATAATCGATCGTTCTTCTTCTTTTATCGAATTTATATATTGCAATTTTTACATTACTACTTTGAAGCAGACGTTATAATATATTACAAAGGAGAAAAAGAGAATTTGTGAAAATAAATGGCTCCTACCGTGTCTCTCTAAACGTGGTCTCTAACTGGTTGCTAGTCTCGCTTTATATGTACATATTGCATAATACGTTCACATAGTTTGTACAATTTATAAAATAGTAAGGAAGGAAATTGTCGAGAGAATAATGCACAACAATTTCGTAGCTGGTATTAAGAAGTTAGCTTCGTTGGAAATAGCAAATATTAGAAGAAAAAAAAGATATGTAAAAAATTGAAACGTGTCTCCTTTGGTACATTACGAAATGGAGATCGAATCGATATAGAAGGCGAACGAAATCGGTGTCACTCTGGTAATAGACGTGTGTTCGAGATTTGCATGTAGGAGCGTATAAGTTTTGTCGAAAGCGTTAGGTACGCTTTCGCTGGTGGTAACCTCAGCTGACCTCACCGTCGTCGTTGTCCTTTTCTTCTACTCGAGCTTGCACCTTCTTGCACGCTGACCAACTCCCGTCCGCCGATCGACGTCACGTATCGATTCCAAGGCTCGACACGATCTCGCTAACCTAAACGTGTTCCGACTATGGTAGAGATAGTCGTTATAACGTGGCGCCTTTGAATTCCCTAAGAAAAACTCGATCGATCGATCGATCGATCGATTGTGTATCGAGAATGGAGCTTTCGCTATTCTTACCGGTAATAATCATCTTTAGCATAATGCGCTTGACTCGATAAATCGACCTAATGAATTTCACGCTTAAATGATTTTCTACGTGTAGTAGCTACGCGATGAGATATTGCTTACGTAAGAGGCCTTTAATGAATACGTATATCTACACACGTGCATGCATCCTTATCTATCTGTGCTTCTATGTTACATTCGTTTCTACGTGTATTATCTTATATTACAATTATCGTAAATCTTTTATTATTATCTTTTTCATTTTCTTCTTATACAAGTGTGATGTATAATTATCTTCGAGATACAACTTTTTTACTCGATTAATGATAATTATAAATAACACTTTCGTAACAATATTAAAATTTTCTGTTCGATTGTAAATCCATAGTAACGAAGAAGAGAAGTGTGTGGAACGCACAGGTGCATCGCCGTTGCGTTTGTCGGCCAAGTTCGGCACCGAACGTTCCCCACGGCTTGCCTTTGAACTAATTTGACCTCTCGCTTCCTGTAATTTGGCATTCTTTAAAATCAATGTGCTCGACCCTATCTCGCGGTTCCCATCGCGTAAGGTTCTTCGAGACCATTAAAAAAAAGGAGGCCACAGAAAGGGATAATAAAGGAAATCGGGGATGCTTAATATGCCTTTTGTTTAAGACCTTACCAATCAACGCGACACACCTTCATACTTTATATATCAGATACAACGGATGGACAATTCCAATTTCAAATATCTTTTCACGTATAATGATTTATCAGTTGAAATATAATCTGTGAGACAATTAATAACAGTTCTAGCAAAAAACCGTAATAAATGATGTCGAGGAACCGGTATATTACATATGTATTGAGTATACTCTATATATATGCGCGTGCGAGGAAGAAAGAATGATAATATAAACAAACAATTTTTCCGAAGATATTGTTTTGACATTGATACGCGTCAGTCGCTACACAAACGTCAACTGAGCAACTTAAATAAACACGTGTCTCTCTCAACTTTCAAATCATTTCTTTCACTACTACTTAACGTTGCAATATTAATATTCAATTTTCAGACGAACTTGCACGCTCATCGATGGATGCATACATCTGTCGTCTTTTTTTTTTTTTTTTTTTTGAAGAGGAAGAGATTCATCGGTACGTTGAGCCCAACTAAGTAAGTAAACCTTTCTCTTCCGATTTAATCAAGTAAAATCATTTTATTAACTAATTACTTTTCTATATTAAGCGTTTTAATTTACAACATGATTTTAATATATATTTATAACATCGACATGCTCGAACGTTCATAGTAATTATCGCATTAAGAGAAGTCAGGACCAATTGAATCGGTTCAAAGATCAAGTAAGTCTTTTTCACGCTTCGAATCGTCGTGCATAAAAGCATACTACTAATAATAATCTCCTTTTTCCAGTAGCATTATTTTCTCTAACTTGAATTGCGAAAGGTTGTTGTTGCCAATCTTTCTCTCTCTCTCTCTCTCTTTCTCTGGGAAATATTTGCGAAATCGATGTCGCGAGCTAACGTTCGTGATATACATATATGCGTGTACGTATATACGTAAAAAGTATGGGCGAGAATTATGTGATAATTATGATTACTCACGTCGGAGTTTCGTTACGAGGCAAGCACGTGCGAGGGAAAACCAGGTGCTTCGTGAGAAACGGGGCTTCTTTGTTCAAACTTGTTTAGAAAAGAGGAGAGAAAGAGTGAAGAAAAGAGATAAAGAGATGGATGCACGTTTTTATTACAACTTTTGCTAAATATTAACGTTTCTTTTTTTCTTCTACGTACGCGTTTATTTTCGTTTATTTATTTGTTCGATGAATACTTGCATAAATTCGTTCAGTTGTACAGTGTAGGAGTCACAGATTGCACCAGATATTGATTTTCACAGGTTATTGTTTGTCATCAGTAGAATCAATCCGCAAAAATTGAATTCGTCTTGAAACTGAATATCGAGTCTACTCGTTTTTTATGCTTCAACACTGTTATGTATTTATTTAATTGAATATTCTTTTTTCCAGATTAAAGAAGAGATTTTTAACAACAAACAAACCAATATCTTAGGATTGGATGTTTGCAATTTGTTAAGCAAAGTAATCCACTTTCGATGGTTACCGGATGGAAGTGAGCAAAGTAAGTCGGCGAACGTAAGACAATGGGGGCCGCGGGAGCAAAGACAAGGACGATCCCACGTCGTCGTTGTCGTCTTCTTTATTGTCGTCAGTGCAGTTAACGATAGAGAAACTCCTCGTCTTTCAACTCGATCTCATTACTATATATTATTTTTCCCCATGGAATGTCTTCTTATCAACGAGAGAAAAATGATTAGTCGTATGATCGTATCGTGCGAATGTCTGCAAGATATTTGCACGGAATTTATTTGTTCATTTTTAATTACATTTACGTGTTCCATTCTTTAATTTTAATAAGATAGAATTTAGGTGTACTATTTTGAAACATAAGTTATGTAGCAATGAAAGTACGAATTAGACAATTTGTCTATTCTCATGAAAATATTGAAGTAATTATTTCAAATGATAGAAATCTTAGTATTCTTCTATATCGAAGCGTAACATAATTTTCAACGATTAAAAAGCTACAAATTAGATTAGAATCGATAGTCGATCTAACGATAGATCTGCATTGTTTACGTTAGCGAACCTTGAACGAGAGAGAACCGTTGCCTCATAGATTACATAGGCGCCCTTTCTCCCATGCAACACACCATCGCGAGTAGTATGCACCGGTCCTATAGATTATTATGCTAATGACAATGCTAATCGCGTGAAGTCAGCATCGAAACACTGTTGTCGACGTCGTCATGGTAGTCCTCGTCGTACTGCTTACCGAGAGAAAGGAAGAGAAATAGAAAAGGATGAAAAAAAAAAACGTAAAGAAAGAGTTTATAAGTAACGTTGATCGCATACTAATACTTCCCTCGCCCGCCATTGAACGACGTAAAACGAGATTTATTCGAGATCTCGCACGGATATCGTCGCGTTAACTGGCGTACACGAATACAACCATAACTTGATAGATACTCAAAGGGAAACGATCGTGATTTTTCCGAAGAACGTTGTTAACGATCGAAGATAATGAGTAGAGTAGCAAAAAAAAAAAAATAAAATAAAATAAAACGAACAGAATTCAAGGACATTGAGGAAAGAACGTTCGGACGATTTTTAAGAGATTTTTTAACGATCTTTTAGATTTCTTATAGATCCGGTTCGAAAAGACTATGTTGTACAAGATGTTTTATAATTAACCATAAAATCTTTTAGTGTAATACATGGTATTCAGAAATAATAAACAATATTAGGAATTTTAAGAAAATTTCTATTACCAAAGTTACTATAATATTATATATTATATAGTGATTTTAGTTGGTTTAATTTAGTATTAGTTGATAGCTTATTAACGTGGAAGACGTGCTAGCAGTTTATTCCAGTGTACGTGCACCAAAGAAGAAAACTGACCTGCCGCGTTAGGTTGGTTAGTGACTACGCGACGAAGACACCTGTCGTGGCGCACTCTTTTTTATTGCCTCTTTTTTATTTTCCCCCTCGCGTGATAGTTCTTACCTATAAATTTTTTCCCCTAGTAATTTACACGTATCTAAGGTAGTAATCTACATAAATCATTAATACGATAATAGTGAAAAGAAATAGTTGAAATATTTTATAGTAACGCGTTTAATGCCGTGAGAATTATCAATGGCATTATTATACAATTAAATCGAGTCAATTAGATATATTTGTATAAATTTGTATTATATTACAAATAGAGTGTCAAAGCAAAAGAAATATCGAAACATAGTCGAGGACGCATGTTTAAGTCTTCCCGGAAGGCTCGTCGGTTCACCGTTAACGGAACGATACAAACATCTTACGTAGGATCTTTCGAAGAAAGTAGGTTTAACGATTCGCAACTCGTAGGAAGTAATTTGGTTTATCTTTTATTTTGACGGGGCCGGTTTTGCATCGCGCGGACTCTGTAGGCGAGAACGTTGAACGGTAGCAGCTCTCATTAGTCGACACCTGAAAGATAGGTTCAGAGCTAGCAATGAACAAAATAGTGCTCGCATTGGTGCTCGTGTTGGTTGCTCGCATACAACTGATTTTCTTGCTTGTTTCGTCTCTTTCACGCCCAGTTGTAGGAAAAAGTGGATGATAACGACGACGATCGTCTCGCTAATGGGAACGAACGACGTGCCCCTTTCGCCTGAGAGTAGTATATAGTCACGTATTCGAAACGTTAGATAGATAGATAGATGGATCGATAAAGAAGAACGCTTGATATATCTTCTTAAGCACGAAACAGTCACGAAAGAGCCGCTAAAACGATAAAAGGAGTGTTCTCTTTAGGGCGGATCAACGTTGTACGATTGGATCGTTCGTTCGATATGGGAGGAGCGCTCGATCTCGATTTGCCACCAGCACGAATCCAAAGGATAATCGAACGATGATAAAGCCAGAGGAATAAAAGCCCTCGCGGCCTTGACGCTTCACTTACAACAATTTCTTTCATATTTCGTTCGATGCCTAGCATCGCATTTCAACCTTATTTCATATACACTTTGTATGCACGTAATAGGTGCATTTTTCAAAAGGGTGCATTCGTAATAATAATAATGATTAATAGTAGAAATGGTAGTAGGATCGAAAGGAACCTTTCGTTTCTGTTTGCCGAGCACGTGTCCGTCGCAACATTGCCGATCAGAGAAACGATTTCTCGGTCTGCAGAACTCGCGCGCGTGGTCCAGAAAGTCCATACCGGTGTTCAGGATCGAGTGCACGACTTTGCGCTCGACTCTGCGCTCGACTCTGCGCGCTCGACTTACATCCGATCAAGATAAATTATCGCAACGGTGTTCGACTAGGACAACGAGGATAGCTCAAAATTATAACTTTTTTTTTATTTTAAATAAGTTTTTATTTCTTATCAAAATTACAACTTTGGTCCGGCCAATGACAGAAAAGACAACGGAAAGCAGCTTTCGTGCGACTTTTTTCTGTGCCATCGAAAATTATTCGATAACACATGGGCTGAAAATTCCCGGGTCTAACAAAGAAAACAAGGTTTCTTTCATTCAAAATTTTGCTTTATTTATCAATATAATCTCCATAAAGAGAAATACAATCATTCAAGAGCCGCTCTAACATTTCAATACAACTTTTGTAGAACGATTTATCTTTTGCCTCAAAATAGACCTCAGTTTCAGCGATAACCTGAACCTCTTCATTCGAGCGAAGCATTTTTTTGAGACCTGAAAACATGAAAAAATCACGGAGGGCCAGATTTGGAGAATACGGTGGATGGGGAAGCAAAGCGAAGCTCAATTCATACAACTTTGCCATCGTTTCTTTTGATCGATTGTGAGCATGCGCAGCACACAGCTTTCGCATGTCCAAGTATTCATGTATTATATGTCCTACACGTTCCTTTGATATTTTTAGAGTCTCAGCTAACTCAATCAATTTTGCTTTACGGTCATTCAAAATTATTTTGTAGACTTTCTTGATGTTTTTGGTCGTCCGCTGCGTGCATTATCTTCGACGCTCATTTCACATCGATTAAACTTAGCAAACCTCTTCTCAACGATTGATTTTCCTGTTGCAGAGTCCGAATAATGTTTATCAAGCCAAACTTTGGTTTCAACGTTATTTTTTTTTCAATTTAATCCTAGTAAAGCCATATATGTGTGAGGCCTGGGACATTTCAGCCCATGTGTTATATAAATGCATTTTCATTATTCATTTATTCATTTCATATGTTAACAAATTCGATGAAATTTTGTAGCTGTAAAAATTAGCACGAAGTAGGTACCAATTGGAATTTCTTCGTCACTTCCTACTCTTTTTTGTTTTGATTCTTTGGAAGGAAAGAAGATAGCATTGATTGTGAACGATGGTGGTGGTAGTGGTGGTGGCGGTGGTGGTGTTTTCAGTGTGTATTTACGGAAATTGCGGAGCCCGCGGGCTCCTACTTTTCTGCCGACAGTGATTCGTATACTATAACGGCCGCACCGGGGGAGCGATTACAGCTCTGTTGCACTTCTAAGAACCGTTGTCCTTAAGGTCTCTAGACCTTCGAGAGTCTGTAGCTCGGTGCGCGCTTCTCTTCTTCTTCTTCTTATCTTAGCAAGAACCTTCCTTCCTTCCTTCCTTCTCGAACACGATTTCCTCAAATACCCCGGTGTACCACCGAACAGATCTCCGAAGAGATGCCTGCTGTCTTTGTTCAAACAAGAAAACCATTCCACTTAACCTTCCATTATTTTCACATTTTTAATACATATCATTTATTTGATTTCAATTCTCGCGCGTTTTATTTGTCAAAAATCTTCATTTCTTCTATGTATACGAGCAAAATAGGTTATTCCTTTCCAATGGGAAGTATTGAGGAAAAAATTAATGGCAAAAATGAAAGTATCGAAGAAGAAATTGTAGAAAAGGAAGAGGAAAGAACGTCACGAACGAGATGTTACGTTCCTGGAGAGTAGATTTTTGCGGCCGTCACGAAAGACCGCTAATAACAGCCGCGCGAATGGCTTATTTACATGCAACATCGAGGCGCCTTCGATGGATCGCGAGTTTCCTCGTGGTTTTGCGCGTGCCACTGTTTCATCGTTTCTCTTATAACTAACACAAATATACACTTTACAAAACTATTTAATTTAGCAACAATTTTCTATTGAAATTCTAGTGTGCGTTAGGTTTATTAAACGTATTGTACGTTTTGTCTTCGTCATTGGTTTCGAGATAATATCGAACGATTCACGAACGAACAGTACGATCGAAGAAAGATCGACTTGACCGTCATGGCGTTGGTGGTACTCCGAGTAGCCTGAAGGGAGGAAGCCAGATCGCATATCTTCCTCTTTCTCTTTCTCTTTCTCTCTTTCTATCTTGTACTTATAGTCCTCTTGCAGCGAAGTGGACGCCAGAGAAACGGGAACGAGTTGCATCCGCTAGGCGAAGGCGAGGCAGCCTTAAAGCCCGGAAGAAGGTTCGAAGGTGCGTACATCTGACATACGTATTTGCGAGTATATCTTTGTATAGATATAATTCTCTTCTACGTTCGATGATAATAAAATGAATATCTTTCTAACGGCGCGAATCATTTTTTCTTTT